CACTCTCATAAGAGAAAAATGAGTACCTTCCACAGGGTCTAGTCTCACTGCAATCCCCTTCCTCCAATCTTTCCAGCCTGTCAGATCCTGGGCACTATGTGGGATCCAAGTTCTTAATAGCAGTGCATTACACTGGTCCTCAATAGCTTTTAGAAATTAAAATTCTAGGGCTGGTGGATAAGCAGGTGGCATGGAGATTAGTGTGTTGAATTCCACATGGCTGACTTCATGGCTCAAGTCTCAGACCTACCGGCTTGAAAGTCATGCTGGACACACGTGTGTATGTGCCCAAAATCCAAAGGGGAGACTGGAGAAGGGACTGTGGCATGGTCATCCCCCCCACCCCCCCCCCCAGGTTGTGGTGACTTCTCACTTTTCCTCTTTCTCTATGGCAAGCACACACACCTAATAGCAAAAAAAATTCTAGGGCTGGTACTGTGGCTTGATGGTTGGGGCAGCAGGTTCCCATATAGCCAACTTCACAATTTGAGTTCCAGACCCGGCAGCTTGAGAAACATGCCAAATACATGTACCCAAAACCCAAAGAGGGAGAGAAATGGGAAAAGGAACTAATAAAGAATGTGACCATTCCCCCATCAGGTGCTTTCTCTTCTTTATCTCAGTATTTCTATCTCTAGAGAGCATATGCATCCTCAGGCAAAAAAAAAAAGGAAAATTAAAATTCTGTGTTTTTCATTACTAGAATTACTATAATTGGCAATAAGAGCATAAACTTTCAAACAGAAAACCATTTGTGCAATGAGATGTTCTTAATATAAATACAGTCTGCCTTTCATAGTCACAATTCACGCACCCACAAGCAATTAATCAACCACAAGTCAAAAATCTTTCACTGTTGCTGATGTGCGCTATGCAGTTAGGCCTACAATAGTTGCTGGTTGTGTCATACTAAACATATACTGACTTTTTTTCTCATCATTATTTGCTAAACAATGCAGTATAACAATAATTTATATAGTATTGAAATTATATTAGATGTAATTGTATGTAATGTATTATATGTAATATAGAAATTATTTTAAACATGTGAGAGGATGTCTATATACTAAATCATTTTATGCAAGGAACTTGAGTATCAATGAATTTTGGATCCACAGGAGTCCTGGAAACAATCTCATCCTGTGGAATCTGAGGTACGACTATATATTTTCCAAAGTGACAAAACTAAATTACACTTTTAATTTTGTTTTTGCAGACATAGAGCCCAAAGGACCAAAATTTTTATTGGCAGGGACTACAGAACTAAGAGTTTGACAAGGCATATGATGCTTTAAGATTACTTTTGTGGGATAAAAGCATGACTACCAATGCATTAAGAATGACCAAACTAATTTTTTGTCTGCTTTTCCACCCCCCTGCTATACAAAATAACTTTACTTCAGAGCAATAGCATTTCTAAATAGAAAATAGCTACCAAGCATAGAAGAAAATTATGAGTAGTATGAGAAATACCTACTTAACATTTTTGTAAGAAAACAGCACACATGCCTTTGAAATTTTCATTGGTAATTATCCATTAGAAAGCCGAAAGAAAAAGGTTATCAATAATAGAAACTACAATAATAGTCTATTTCTCCTATTAGTCTACTTCTGATAATAAAAACAACAAATCTACTTTTTATTACAGGTATTTATCTATGATAGTCTACTTCTGATAATAAAGACAACAAATCTACTTTTTATTACAGGTATTTATCAACAAATTCTTTACATTAGTTAGGAGTATATATGTTCTAGATACAGTATATCAATGATGTAATTTAATAGGTAAATGAATTCACCACTTCATTTTATATAAAATATTTTATAACTTAACCCCAAAACGTACTTTATTTCTTTCTTCTGCTTTAAGAATCAAAATCATCACTAAAATAAAACATATTTTACCTGAATCTGAATGGAAGGAGCTTCCAGTGCTCTGTAAACCATTGGCAGAACACTGTTCTTTATCTCATCAGGAGGGGTTTTGGTTAGTAGCAAATCCATTTTTTGTAGAAAAATTAACAAAATCTGTTTAGAAAAAAGGAAACAATGTTTTATAGGTTTGAATCTTTAAGAGATTCAATACAAGACAGAATTTAAAGTTTCCTCAAAAAAATAAATTACGTATTTTGACACTCACCATATTGCTAGCCTGAAGGCATGGAAGACAAAAACATACAAATCAAGTCTCTTACATTTTTGGAAGCAAAATATTGAACATCTGCTCTCAGTTTAAACATTTAAATAAAGATTAACCTCTTAACTTTCATATAATCTAACATATCACTCACCAGTAAGTAACAACTATCTAGAAAGGTATTAAGTAATGAGAAAAAAAAAAAAAAATAGAAGCCTAAGGGTAGAAAAGCAAGATGTCCCAAAAAGTAAATTCCATCATTCAGCTTCTATGAAGTTCAAGAAGAGAAGAGAAAGCACAGGGTTGGCTCCATGACCTGGTGGTTAAGGCAGCCAGACTGCATGGCCAACTGGGTGGTTTGAGTCCTGGATCTGGCAGCTTAAGGCATGTACCACGAGGGGGCTGAACTCTCTCTTTCCCCATTTCTATCTCTCTGATAAGTGCATACACCCGCTAGCAAAAACAAAGGGTAATTTAAAGAGAAGATATGAAAATAAAAGTAACTGTAAAGACGAATTCTAGGAATATTTTTTCCCTTTTTTTTTTTTTTCCTAGACTTTTGCACTTGTCAGAGACAGAAAGAAAAGGGAGAGGAGAGCAGAGAGCACTCCCCTTGAAGAAGGGTCACACCACAATCCCTTTTCCTCCACCTCTCCCTTCCTGAAGGATTCTGGGCATGCTTGCACACACAACCAGCATGTTTCTCAAGCCATCAGGATTAGGACTTGAATCACACAACTGGTCATGTGAATTCTGGCTATCTTAACCACAAGGCCATAAAGCCAGCCCTAAAAATACACACATTCATTTTTTTAAAGAAATATTTATATTATCTTTATTATTATTATTATTGTTGTTGTTGTAATTTAACCAGAGATAGACAGAGAGAAAGAGAAAGCCAGAAAGCAAGCTGCCAGATTTGGGACTCAAATTGTGGTTGGTCATGGGAGTGTCCACTGCCTTAACCACTATACCACCTGCCGGCACCCAAAATATTTTTAATTGTCCTTGACCATACATTTTTTTCACCAGCTGCCTTTACATATCTAAATTATAAGGAAAAAACTGCCCCTACTATTTAAGCAGAATACTTAGTTTTGTCAGAGCTCGGTTAAAATTTTTCAGAAGTAATTTTTCATTGGCCAACTAATGGAAAAACGAATACCAAAGAATGGAGGCAATAAGAATTCAGGTAAGTGCCTTAAAGATACTGTCTTAACAGAAGCATAGCTTAGGCAACATGTGGCTACACCAACTTCACTCCTGACAGCTGACCATATCGGGGGACCCCTGCTTCAAAACCAACACCTCCCTCACTTGTTCTTTCTCCAGTCCATAGACACACTCTACCAGTCTTCCTTCTGTTCCTCCTCCTTTCGAGGGAAAGGCCACAAAGGTCATAAAAGCAGTAAGTCAAATAGTTGACAGTTTCTTAATAGCTATTGACATACAGTGGCTGAAACATTTAATAACATTTACAACATGTTAGAAGATTGTATTTAAACCTCAATGACCCTTTCATTTCAGAAATGAGGAAATGGAAGCCATAACATGCCAATGACTTGAATCTAAGTCAGATTTTTAGGGAGAGAAAGAAGCCCAAATTAGCAGATGTGCAACCCTGCTAATCTTAAATCCAAGACTAGCCTGCAGATGCTGAAACATTTAATAACATTTACAACATGTTAGAAGATTGTATTTAAACCTCAATGACCCTTTCATTTCAGAAATGAGGAAATGGAAGCCATAACATGCCAATGACTTGAATCTAAGTCAGATTTTTAGGGAGAGAAAGAAGCCCAAATTAGCAGATGTGCAACCCTGCTAATCTTAAATCCAAGACTAGCCTGCAGATGGCCTATGAATATTATAAATGAGACTGATTACTTTTTTCACTTACAATATACATACACATTATTTTCATGGTGCTATAAGCCTTTTCCTTTTCAAATGGAAGTATTTATTAGCAACAAAATAAAGAAAAATAACTTGCACAAATGGTCTACAAATTAAAGACCACAACAACAATACAAACAAAAAAAACTGAAAAGTGCAATAAAAAAGATTTATTTTTCCAAACCTAAATATTTTGGTCAAGTAAATGGGAACAGTATAACACATGCAAAATAACATTGCAGTTTATTTTCTGAGACAGTAACTTATGGAGACTCAGAGACATTTACCTGCAAAGTTAAATTTTAATTTTAGGAATGGTTCACTTCAAACATATGCAAGATAGCTTCCTAATTAATTGAAAAGAAAGTCTCATATACTTACTTCAATTTTTAAACAATCATATATTTATTGCTATTGTTTTTAGTGAAAAGTAGATAAATATGCAAAAATACCTACAACTTACCTGGATTGGCTCCTGCTGTTTGAATACAGGGCCAAGTTCAGGCAGAATTAATTTGACATATTCTTCTTTGGTGCATTCCTCAGCAATCAGTAAAACATTGGGCAAAACAAAAGGTACCATGTCAGGGTTTACAAATTCTGAAGTCAAACAAGGCAAAATTCTCTGCACAATGACACGCTGAAAGGCAAAAACATTTTTATGAAACATAATTCATTTCAGGTCTTTAGTATTAGCAATGAAGTCTAAAATCTCTAATCACTTTAGGTAATAAGATAACCATATTAATTTTTATGGTTGAAATGGATACACTTTTGAGAGTAAAATACAATGCCAGTAATAATACTTAAGAAGAAACAGCATAAATTAGGATGTATGGGTGAAAGGGGATATATGGTTACCCTACCTTTAGGAAATCTTTCCTAATTGGTTCTATTGATATTTTCTCCCAATTCCTTTATTACTTATAATTCATATTGCACAACTTAACACACTGTCCTGAATTGTTAATTACTGTTTCATGCATGTTAACCCTATCTACTCTCACTGGTAAAGGCCTATGAAAGCAGGAAAAGTATCTTTTTCTTTCTCTACACAACACCTAGATAAAGGACTAAATAAACAGTAGAAAACTGAGGAAAATCTGCTAAGTTAAACACTGACACCCAGGGATTACCAGTTTTTTAACCAGTGCCTTCTTTAGCATTCACCAACATTTTTTATACAATATTACACTCATTTAATTAGTCAAAGAGGGAGAGTTAAAAGAAATGGAAAAGCTACCATCAATGCTGATATATCCCCTTAACTACTGCTGAAGTAGTGATCGCCACAATGATAGCATAGAAACTGCTAATATTTAACGTCCAACTGCTCCTTTCACATTGATAATACCCTTCTAACTTTTAAAAATATTTCATTTTTTTTCAGACCCTTCAAAAAAGAGTTGCTCAAATTTTGGCTTTTGTCTGCAGCCTTTACTGCCATCTATGTATAGAAGGCAAAAGTTATTATTTCTTTGGAAGAGTTATTAAGTTAAGTCTAAATAAACTTAAAAATTCTAAAATTCTGACTATAATAATAAACTGAACAACAAACCTTCGGCAGTTTTGGTAGAACCTTTGGCAGTCCTTTGAAAAACTGTGATTTCTGAAGATTATCTCTTTGGAATAAGGTATCAAAATATTGCAGTGTTACTGCACCAACATCATCAAAGAAGGGAATCTAAAAATACAGAAATAAATTATTTTTAGAAATATTAAGTTAAAAGTACTCCCATAAATAAAACTGCCACAATATGGTGAAAAATATTCAGAAACCTATAGTAAAATACTAAAAGCACTTTAATAGAAATTTTAATGTAAAAATCAGAGTAAAAAAACATTATACTTTTCAAGGTCAAATCTTTAGAATGAGGAACTATGACTTGACTTTTTTTTAAAGCTTATTTATTTCTTCTGTTAGCAAGAGAGGTACACAGAGAGAGACAACACCCTGTCTCAATGCCATGATCTGCCACCAGCCTTCAGCTAGCTCCAGATTATGGGCAAGTGTGTGTCTGGCATACTCAGGAGGGTCTCCAGACTTGAATTGGGAACCTTCCCATATAGGATTGCCTTTTAGTGCTTCACATTTTACTGCTGCACTACCATATGGCCCAATGAAATCTTAATTTTCTATCCAAGAAATTATGTATATAATGTTTAACTATTTAAGTTGGAAAAATGTTGAATATTTAACACATTCAAGAAAAAATCTTAATTTTCTATCCGAGAAATTATGTATATAATGTTTAACTATTAAAGTTTGAAAAATGTTGAATATTTAACACATTCAAGAAAATAGACATAATCTTAGAATTAATATCAGTAAATCCTGCTTTAGAAGAACTACTTTAACTCAGGACCAGCAGTTGACATAATGGATATGTTGCTGGACTCCCATACAGTCAACCGTGGTTCGAGTCCTGGACTTGATGGCTTAACTCACGCTGGGCGCATGTGCAGGCGTGCCCAAGATCCCGAGAGGAGAACGAAGCAGAAGGGATTGCGGCATGGCCAGGTACCCTGGGGGGGGGAGGGGTGATCTCTCTCTCTCTCTCTCTCTGGCAAGTGCATGCACCCTATAGCAAAAACCTCTCAAAAAAAAAAAAAAAAAAAGAACTACTGAACTACTTTAACTCACTTTTTGTACCTCCACCTAAGAAAGAAATTCTTGTATACTAACCTTTGTCATCTGATCTGCATCTGGTCTTACAGTTGGAGTTACATTTAGCAGCAGTTTTACATGTTCACGAACTTCTTCAGGTACACTTGTAAGTGAACTAGATCCTAGACGACTCAACTATTCAAAGGAGTGACAACATTAAACATGAGTATAAAATATTCAAAATGATATGCATTTATTTTTTAGTCTAAGAAAAACTAATAGTCTAAGAAGTTTTTTTTAATTTACTCAATATATAGATTAAACAAATTTCTAATTCTATTACTATAAAACATTTATCTTTAATACCTAAAATTGTATCCATATCTAAAATAAAATGCCCAGCATTTCACATCATATTCCAATATTCACCCTAGTAAATGCTATAATTAAAGTTGTAGTAACAAACTTTAACTAGTCTTCATTATTTAGATAACTTTTATTAAATTAGTTTTAGGCAAACTGAAAATAAGACTTTCATCTCATTTTGAAAAGTTTCTGCACATACTTTAGAAAAAAATATCAAGCATTTAAGAAATCTTTTAATGCAAGTTAATATTTATAGGCAAATACCTGATCCAATTGCCTACTGAAACTCTTATAAATATCTTGTTTGTTGACTTCAAATACAGGTTTCCCTTTATTAAATACAGCGTATATAACAGTTCCTAAAGAATACATATCACTGGCTGTTTCGCAGCTCACAGAAAGTATGTATTCAGGAGCCAAATATTCAGGGTTTGGAAGACACAATGATGGTAAATTTGGGTCCCATTCTTTACAAGGAAACTTAGGCTGTAATGGAACAAAAAAGAAATGAGAAATCTTTAGTAATCTGTCCTTAAATTCATACTCAGTTATGCAAGTAGAAATGTCAACACCACTTTCAATTCTAAAATTCTCAAAACCTAAAATCAACAAAATGAGATAAGAACTCTTATAACTTTGTGATTTGGAGTTTCTTCCAGAAGACAAATTATCACTGTAAGATGAAGTATGAACCTGAGGTCAGGCTCATGTTTTGAGGTACAAAGGCTTCAAAAACAAAAATTATTGACAGGGTATCACTGCTGAAATCTTTCTGCTTCAGTCTCCCAGCTGGGACTATAAGCATACACCATCTTGCCAGCTCTTGGGGGTTTTTTTAGACAAGGTTTCACTTTGTTGCCCAGGCCAGCTTCAAGCTTGCAATCCTCCTGTCTCAGCCTGAGTCACTGGGATTTCAGGCACATGTCACTACACCAGCCTTCAGGCTGGAGCTGGAACTGAACCCAGGCCCACGTGGCCCCAGCCTGCAGAGCACATAGCTTACACACACTATAGCAACTGGGCCACACTAGCTTCAAATTTTATGAGATCAGATAGAGACTTCTGTTTGAAACCTTGTTCATTCGCTACCTATCTATGTAATTTAATTAAAATTGTAGTTGGGATTTTTTTGGGGGGTGGGGATAGATTTTTGCTACAGTGCACATGTGCTAGCCAGAGACAGAAAGCAAGAAATCACCCTCTTGGGGGGAATGGCAACACCTTCTACTCCATTCCCCTCTCAGGATTTTGGGCACATATGCGCCCAGTATGAGTTTTAAGCTACCAGGTCTAGGACTTGAACCACAGTCACCCACATGGGAGTCCAGTCCCTTAACCATTATGCCACCTGCTGGCCCCTGCAGTTAGGGTTAAACAAATGTATGGAGGTTCAACCTAGCACAGTGCCTAACCCACAGTATTTACTCATCCAATACTACTACTTTCTGATTCCTTCAGAATGGGTGCCTAAATTACAAATCTATCTTAGGTCAAATCATCGTCCCATCTGGAACCAACAGTTGGCGTAATGGCTATGTTGCTGGACTCCCATGCAGTCAACCATGGATTGGGTCCCGGACCCAGTGTCTTAAACTCACACTAGGCACGTGTGCGTGCATGCCCAAAATCCTGAGAGGAGAATAGAGAAGAAGGGCTGTGGCGTGGCCATCCCCCCTGGGGGGTGATTTCTCATTTTCTGTCTGCCTCTCTTTCTGGTGAGCACATGCGCCCTGTAACAAATCCCCCCGAAAAAAAAAAACCGCCCTTTAATTCAATAGGTCCCAAATGTATTTAACTCTGGCATCTTTGTCTCAAGTAACAACTAGTGTAGAATTAATGAGCTGAATACTCTTCAGCAGTAATGAACACTAGATATTTTCTATACAACTATATATATATACATTTAAACATACCACTGTACCACATAGCCTATTTCCATGCATTTACCAGGCTTATAAATTCTCATGTCTATTATTATTTTTTTTGAGAGATTTTTGCTATAGGTGCATGTGCTCACCAGAAAGAGAGAGAGAGACAGGGAGAAATCACCCCCCGGGGGGATGGCCACACCGCAATCCCTTCTCCTCCGTTCTCCTCTTGGGATCTTGGGCACGCACACACACATGCCTGGCGTGAGTTTAAGCCACTGGGTCCAGGACTCAAACCATGGTCAACTACATGGGAGTCCAGCAACATAGCCATTACGCTAACTGCTGGTTCCTCAAGACTATTCTAAATGAAAACACAAACGACCATAGCTTTAAGAATTTAGAAGATTAGGGGCCAGGAGGTAGCCTAGTGGTTTGGATGCTGGACTCCCACATGGCCGATTGCAGTTCAAGTCCTAGACCTGTTGCTTGCGTTCTCATTTTCCCTCTTTCTTTCTGTCTCTCTCAGGTCAAATTAAATAATCATTATCATCATCATCATCATAATAAAAGAATTTTAAAGATTAAAGCTTTGTTACCTCTTGCTCAGAAGGATTAGTTGATGATACACAAAAATCAAAACCCATTATTTTCCATGCACCACTTTTATTCAAAATTATATTTTCAGGAGTAATATTTCCATGAACCATTTTTACACTGCTATGCAAAAATGACAATCCTTCAGAAACCTGTAAGTTGAAAAAACACAAATATTTTTACATTACATAAAATTCCTTTCAATTAAAATAATAAAATGTCTCTTAATAATCACAGTAATTGGGAGCTAGCAGGTGGCATTGTGGTTAAGGCACTGAACTCCCTCATGGTGGACCGCGGTTTGAGTCCTGGGCCAAGTGCCTTGCTTTCTCACTTTCCCTCTATTTCTTTCTTGACACACATGCCCTATAGCAAATATAAAAAAAATAATAACACAAATATTTTTTTAATCACATAATTGTTTCTTTCTCAATAAAAGAGTTTTGCGTGTCAGCTAACAATCAAATTTCATCCTAAATTTGAAAAGTGTAGATATTGTCAGTTGCCAGGAAAACCTAAGAATTGGTGGGAAAAACCTATGATAACACCACAGTACTTCTATTTCCCTTTCTATATGCACATGAGCAGAAGGAAAGATGAAATACATAATTATTGGCCCAAGTTTATTTAGTTCCTGAGTTTGAAAAGTAAGAAAATCTTTGATTCTTGAGTTAGGGATGGTGAACAGTGAGAATTTTATATACTCACAGTTCATAGTGAAATTTGGTTCTTCTGAATGGTATTGTGCTTGATTTTCAAATATTCAACTGCTATTCACTTTATTCTCACACTGGATTAATACTTGGTAATTCTGATATCTGTGCCTGAAATTTCTATGGATTTATTAACTGAAACTGACAGTTAAGATTTCTGTTTCCAGGGACCAGCAGATGACACTAGACTCCCACATAGTTGACTGCAGCTCAAGTCCTGGACCCGGCAGCTTAAAACTCACACCACACTGGGCGCACGTGCATGCTGGCTCAAAATCTCACGAGGAGAACGGAGAATGGACTGCAGTGTGGCCATCCCCCTGGAGGGTGATTTCTCGCTTTCTTTCTCTCTCTCTCTCTCCTGCAGTGCACACACCCTATAGCGAAAACCTCTAAATTAAAAAAAAAAAAAAATCTGTTTCCAGAAAGGAGTGGATTTGGGGATGTGAATGTTCCTGACTTTCAGGAGACCATTCTCTCTGGTTTTCCTTGAAGTCCACTAGGCACTGCTTTTCAGTCTATTTTGCTGGTTCATCCTCATCTCTCCAACCTCCTGGACTCAATGTTTGGACCTCTGCAATTTCTTATCTACTCTCACTTTCTCAGTGTTCTCACAGCTTTAAATATCACTTGCATGTTGATTATTCTCAGTATCTTCCGCCTGGGCCTCTGTCCTAAAATCCAGATTTGATGATCTGACCGTCTTATCTTCTAAGCATCTCAATCATATTGGAGTCCAAAACTGGGCTTCCCCCCCACAATTCAATTCTCTTCTTCTATAGTCGTTCCTGAATCACTAAGGTCTATTTCATTTGTCCAATTGTTTAAGACAAATACCCTTGAGTTTGGACTATGGTTTGGACTATTGCAGCAGCCACTTACTTTTATCCCTTTGCTTCCACTCTTGCACTTCTACAAAGTTCAATTCTTAATACAGCAGCTATAGTAAAACATGAGGAGCCAGCAAGTGACCATAGGGGAATCTAAACACCTTAACCACCAAGCCACTGTTTTAATTTTTAATTAATTTAATTTACATTCCAGTAATTCTATTTCTGGGGTACATACTCCAAAGAACTGAAAGTTAAGTCTCAAAGAGATATTATATATCTATGTTCATAGCAGCATTCTTTACAGTAGCCAAAATGTAAGTGTCCATTGATGGATAAGTGGACACGTGAGTTACTTATAATGTAGCATATACTTACAACAGAATATTTAGTATAATAAATTTTGATACATGCTACAACATGGATAAACCTTGAGGACACTAAGCTAAGTGAAATAAGCCAGTCAGAAAAGAACAAATACTGTATGATTTCCCTTATATGAAGCATCTTGAAAAGTTAAATTCATGGGAACCAGCAGTTAGCATAGTGGCTATGTCGCTGGACTCCCACGTAGTTGACCGCGGTTTGCGTCCCGGACCCGGTGGCTTGGAACTCACGCCAGGTGCGTGTGCGTGCGAGCCCAAGATCCCGACAGGGGAATGAAGGAGAAGGGATTGCGGCATGACCATCCCCCCTGGGGGTGATTTCTCGCTTTCTGTCTCTATGTCTCTGTCTGTCTGGCGAGCGCACGCACCCTCTAGCGAAAACCTCTCCAAAAAAAAGAAAAAAGAAGTTAAATTCATAAGAGACAGAAAATAGATAGAATTGTGTTTGCCAGAAGCTGGGAGTGGGTGGGTAGGAGAGGGTTATCATTTAACAAGTATAGTTTCAGCTTTGTAAGATGAAAACAGTTGTGGAGATGCATGGCGGTTATCGCTGCACAAATATGTGAATGTACTTAATGGACTGAATTGAACATTTATAAATGGGTAAAATGGCAAATTAGCACAATTCTTAAAGTTAGGGAACTAAAAGAGTAACAAGGTAAGTCATAAACTGGGAAAAAATATTTGCAAATTATGAATTTGACAAAGTGCTTTGTCCATAATAGATAAAGAAATCTCAAAACTCACTAACAAGAAAACACACAACCCTTGTGAAAAACTGGGCAAAGTATCTGAACAGGTATTTCACCAAATAAAATTTTTAAAAAATCGTATGACAAAGAAGCATATGAAAAGATGCTCGGCATCATTACTCACCAGAAAATGCAAATTAAAAGTAAAAAAAAAAAAAAAAGGAAAGAAAAAAGCCCCTGCACACCTATTAGAATGGATAAAGGAGAAAGGGAGACAGGGGCGAGACAAGTGAAACACAATAGTCGTCTTCAAGGCAATCCCACGTGGGAAGGTTCCCTGTTAAAATTTACAGAGCTGAGTGCACTGGGCATACTTTTGCCCATGAACAGAGGGTGGCTGAGGGCTGGG